ATGGTCATGGGAACAGATTGTTGGAAAAGATGGTCGTGGAGACACCCTTGCACAATGGCCTACTGCATCTAACATGATGAGTGTTGAAGATGCTGCATGTGAGGTCCTCAAATACTTCGACAGAATTTGGGCTTCTACCTCTTCTTCTGGTATTTTTTTCTACTACACTGTTGGAGATGCTTTGCTTGTCTGGGATGAATGTTAGTCTAGACATAAAGTGTATCCTAGATAAGCATATATCTTTATCATCATTTTTTGCGATTGCAACTACAGTTCTCGCATCAAAGTCTATCCAATTATAAAAATAAATTATGAATGCAATACCCAATTTCTTCAATGATATATGTCGTGGTGACTTCATTGGTAAAAATAAATTATGCATGCAACAGGCAATGCCTTCAAGGATTTATGTCATGGTGACTAAATTGGTATCCCATGTTTAAACTTGGCCATGATTAATAGTACCAAAAAATATGAAAAGAAAAAGTTGAAAATAATTATTGGAGAGCTACAACATGTCAACAACAACAAGCCCAGCAAAATCCCACCAGAAATTATTGGAGAGCTGAATATATTTAATAGGAAAGGTTGATATATTGAGTCTAGTTGGATGAGCTAATAGATATAAAAGTTATTAGCTACCTAATAAGAAAATTTTTGTACGACCTAGAGCCTAACTGATTTGCTACAATCCACTAGGGTTTTCTACTTCTTGTTTTGTCTAAGGGGATCAAAATTTGAGATCTTTGGAATGGCATTTGGATGATCAAGTGAACAGGCACCTGTTGACGTTTCTTGGAAAAAAAGTTAGCATTGTTCAAATGTTCACCTAATCTGGGAAAAGAACCATGCTTTCTTTTTAAGCGAACCTGGAGTTTCAAACATGTGATTTATAGTGGATTTGGGCAAAAATCACCCATTTTACAAGCCAAAAGAAACAATGACCAGCTGAAGTAGTGTCCCATCTATCACTTTCAAAACTCTTATTTTTATATTTTGGTTCTGTTGAAATTGCAAGTTCCATTGTTTTGTTAGGACGTGAAATTTTCATGAGTCTCAACTATTTGTTAATATTTATTAGTTAAGAATATTGGTGAATATACCAATATGACTGGAGGAATGTACCAATCTATGCTCTCTTTTTCATATTTGAATAAAAGGTCTTCAACTTTTGTAGTAATATTTGGTTCTTTTCTCCCCATTGCAGATATGCTAGAGTTGAAGAGGGTCGCTTTCTTGCCTGCAGCAAATGGGACACGGCTGGTGAAAGCAAATTCTCTTTTTGTGCATCTGGGAGTAAACTTGTCCCCATTTGCATTTGAACTTCCTTCTATGTATCTTCCTTTTGTGAGAGTTCTGAAAGACCTGGGATTACGAGACTCTCTATCCGTTGACAATGCTAAGGAGCTTCTCTTGAATCTCCAAAAAGCATGTGGATACCAACGTCTAAATCCTAATGAACTTCGTGCTGTAATGGAAATTCTTCATTTCATTTGTGATGAAACTGACGAGTCAAAGTCAGATAGGTCTGGCTGGGGGTTGGATGCCGTAGTACCAGATGATGGCAGCAGACTTGTGCATGCAAGATCTTGTGTGTACGTTGATTCACATGGCTCTCGTTTCGTCAAATTTATCGATTCATCTAGACTCAGATTTGCACATCCTAGTATTCCTGAAAGGATATCTTTAACTTTGGGGATAAAAAAGCTATCAGAAATTGTTTTTGAGGTAGATGTTATGTTTGACTTGCATCACTGTATTTTTCATATGAACTTATATATTTATCCCTCACAATATGACATTCCTTGGCAGGAACTACTTATTGAGGAACCTGTACAGACTCTGGAAAGTATTGGGACAGTTTCACTGGCATACATGAGGCAAAGGCTGTTAAGCACGTCATTCCAACAAGCTGTATGCCAGATTCTCTGTTCTCTGGGCAGTAGCTTTCCTGCACTTGCCATTTCATTTTCAGAAATACATAGTTTACTAGAGAATGCAGCTGAGAAATTGCAGTTTGTTCCATCCATTTACACTCATTTTCTTCTTCTTCCCGATTGTATTGACATTACCTATATTGGGAAGGGTTCCATTATGCCTGAGTGGCCAGTGGAATCCAGACATCGTGCTCTCCACTACATTGACAAAGGAAAGAACCTGTTTCTAGTTGCCCTACCCCCTAGCTATATGTCTGTTCTTGATATAATTGCTATTGTATTGAGTGATATTTTAGGCTCTCCGTGTCCACTGCCCCTTGGGTCTTTAATTATGTGTCCTGAAGGGTCCGAAACCACAGTTATTGATATTCTAAAAATTTGTTCTGAAAGCAAACAAAGTGAGAACGCGAGGAACTGCAGTGACTTGATAGGCAAAGATATATTGAGTCAAGATGCTCAACGGGTTCAATTTCACCCGTTGAGACCATTTTACATGGGAGAAATAGTGGCTTGGCGGTCTCAGAACGGAGAGAGATTGAAATATGGTAGAATTCCCAAGGATGTTAGACCCTCAGCAGGACAAGCTCTCTATCGATTTGGAGTCGAAATAGCTCCCGGGATGATTGATGCTCTACTGTCTTCACAGGTATTCTCATTCAGAAGCGTATCACTAGACAGTGAGGCGTCCTCTGTGAGTCTGACAGATGATTTTTCAACAAACATGGTTTCTGATAATCCTGAGAGTTCTGGAAGACATAAGACCAGTACAAACCAGGTATTGTCTTTGTCCATGCTTCCCTTCCTAAAATTTACTGGTGGTCAATGCTCAGGCAAGTAATTGGAGAAGCTATTGAGATTTGCAAAAACGTTATCTGCTTTAGCTGTACTATTTCTCTATGGTTTCTGACTTTTTCTTCCATAAAATGGGTGGATGGATGCGCCTCCATTGATATTGTGTTCCAGTTGCTTGCATTAGCCATGCTTCCACTTGATGCCTTACTTCAGTATACTGATGTTGCTTGTAAAACCATCTTTTTGCAGCTGAGGACAGGGAAAGATCTTCAGTATGGACGAGTTTCACCTGCAGAACTGGTGCACACTGTTCATGAAATGCTTTCTGCTGCAGGGATCAGTATGGACATGGAAAAACAGTCATTGCTACATGCGAACTTGTCTCTGCAAGAGCAACTAAAGGATTCTCAGACATCCCTGGTGCTTGAACAGGTTCTTAACTCAAATTTTGTTGTTTTTTACAGCCTTATCGGTATCCAAGTGCAATATTTGTATATCAAAACAAGTACCCACTAAAAATTCAAAGGCTTTCCTGAACCTTTTTTCAACAGATCATCATTTTATATTCCAAGTCTTATTGCTTTTGTTTTTTTTTGAAATTCTAATAATGGTAAGATGAGATTTACGGGAGCGGACATGTATAATAAATACATAATAAATTCTGATAGCTGCATTTTGCATGTATAATAAATAAAATACAGGACAAGGCCGAGACTGCTGCTAAAGAAGCTGAGACAGCTAAAGCAGCATGGCAGTGCCGGATATGCCTGGCTGCTGAGGTGGATGTCACGATTATTCCTTGCGGACACGTTCTTTGTCGTAGGTGCTCGTCTGCTGTTTCTCGGTGTCCCTTCTGCCGACTCCAAGTCTCCAATACTATCAGGATTTTCCGGCCATAACTCTTTTTTGGCCAATGTTTCAATCGGATAAAAAAAACTGAAATTTAGCATTTTGCATGTAAAAGCATATGGTAAAACTGCATGTGCCAAAGACTTGATAAACAACGTTAAACTCTATTCAAAATTTTGGTATAGAGGGTATTGTTGTATACTTTAGTGTAATTGGAATAACTATTGACCAATATTATCATAATAATCATCAAGGAAATATGATGGTGCGGAGTGCATGCTTTGTTGAGTTCGTTATAATAAAAATTTTGTTCAACCCCTAACGGGGGTTCCAAAAGGGTTGCGCTCCCTTGGTGGAGGTTCGGAGACAGTGCCCCCGAGAGCATGGTTGAAGTCTTGTATTAATAATTTACTTGATTTTTGTTTTCGGAATTTGTATTTAATTAAAAAACCCATAAAACGCTTCCCTCTATTCCGCGCAATTAGACGCATTCAGTATAGGAAAGTTGCGAATAGCAACTCTTCGTCCTTTTCCTACGCCTAAAAAATCTCTCGCAACTTTGGCCATCAGTGATAGGTTCAAAAATCATTACATCTTCTTCATGATTGAAAGATTTGTGTGAAATGACAAATTGTTTCAATCTTAAAGTGTCTACACGTCTTTTGGAGATTCCAAGCGTTGATTCGTATTTTCTAACAAGTATGTTGTGTTTTGGGCTAAATTTTCAAATAAAACAAAATTTAGCCGCATGTAGGAATATCTAGTTTGAATGTTCCTTTTTGTATGTAGTATAATTTGGTAAATTTTGAGGTCTATACGACTTGGCTATACAATGTAAAATTTCATTCAAAGTTGTAGTTTCGAACTCTATGGATACCATCTCTTTTGGTATTTCTTTCGAATGGGTCAAAAGTTGATACAGTTTGGCCTTAATGCTCCTCTTCACATTTATAAACAAATGGTAAGATTTTATGTTCAAAAGACTTGCTTATACAATGCAAAACAAAATTTAAAGTTTTGGTTTCAAGCCCGTAGTGGGGGTTTTCAGCCAATTTTCTCAATAGATTAAAAACTGAGAAAATTTGTTCAGACAATGCAAGCCCGTAGTGGGTTTAAATATTTTTCAATAATAGTACAAATTATCTCTAAATTGCTTAAGTTATATTCCCATTCTATATGAACTCTTCGTTTTATGACATTTTAGATAAAATATAAATGAATGTGAACATACTTTACATTGGGGTAAAATATCCCTTCAAGAAAATGAGTTTTGGAAAATGAATTATTTTCCAAATATCATTTTTATTGGCAGATTTCATAAAAATCGAGCATTACACATTTGAGAAAACAATATCAGAGGTTGTTTGAATAGAGATCTAAATAAAAACTCGTTTACCTAATAAAGAAGAAGAAGAAGAAATTAAAATCTTTTTCATAATCCAATCTAACTTTCCAATATATAGAAGAAATAGAAAAGTACTGAGTATTTTGAAAGAGCTTAGCTTGTAGAGGTCAGCAATTTAATTTGCAGATATCATCATAAGCCATCTTTGGAAGCACCTGCCCTTGGTAGTCACAACACGTGTCCAATAACTGTACCTTGGCGCAAAAGTTCCCAGTATCGACAGCGAGCAACCTTGCATTGAATCCGCGATACGACCCATTTACAATCCTCACCAAACCACCAATGCAAGGAATCACAGTCTCAAGATCATCTTGATGAAGCCGAAGAAGGGGTTGATGATCATCAAGCATCTCGATTTCTCCATAGTACTTGCCCGAAACCTTTCTGATGATGCCCTTTTTATTATAGTACCCTTTCTCACTTAATGCTCTGTTTGTAACCTTGACAATGAGCCCTTCACACAACCAATGTGGTTTTCTGTTGTTCCCTCTACCCTTCATTGCCTCTTCCTATCATTAACTCCTCCAACACACAAGCGCTCGTCGCACAAACTCTCTTCCTTTTCACTTTTGTCGCATCTTCTTCCTCCTCAAACACACTCAACTTGGAATAATTCTCTTCTTTGTGGCGCTTAACAACACCACTACTGCTACTGGCAGCGACTGCAAATGCAATCCTTGTGTTGTTGTTCTTCACAATCCCCACGTCTTTCGCAGTAGTAGAAGAATAAGAAGAAGAAGAAGAAGCTCTCTTAATTTGTTTCTCAATTTGCTTTTCTTGATTTTTTTCTTCCACCAACTTATTCCTCAACCTCTTACCCCTAGACTTCTTTTGAAGCAACTCTTGAGAATCTGCAGCGGCATTGTAAGTAATGAACCATCCTTTTTCGGTATCTTCCACCTTACACTTGCCAGATTTACCCAAATACATCACAAACTCAGTCAAAGTATTCCAGCAAGTGGAGTGTTCATATGAACATGATGCCTATTTGTAATGTACTCGTTGTAAACCACCGTCGCTGCAACACGAGTCCTCGGCCCGTGGCATCGTTTCAAAACCTCAAAGAAGCCAGTCTCAAATTCCAAAGAGTAACCTTGAACAAATTTGTCAGGATTTTGGCCAAAAATTTCCATTTGACGCAAGTGACCTTCGCTCATAGTATGACACTTGAATCCGTTTGCATCTCGACATTGCTTCTTACAGGACTGACAATAATACTTCAACTTTTGCAAACCTTTTGCCTTCATATGATTAGACATTTGCTTGGGAGAGAAGCTGTCGTGCATGGTTTTTGATTGCCAGAATCAGAATCACCAATTTGTAAACACTGCTAAAGATTTAAAAAAAATCAATTTTCATACAATAATATAATAAAGCATGCAAGGAAAGAGTAAACTAAACCAAGTTACCAAGTTACCAAGTTCACCCCAATTCATCAAACCCAAATACAAGGAAAGAGTAAACTAAACCTACTGCCACAATTTGAGAGCAAATTCATGCGCAGGGCTCAGGACGCCCAATGGAAACCAGTCTATTTTTGCAATTTAACACTAATTCCCACACCGGAACAAAGCACTCTTATTCATCCGGGTCTACAGCCCCTTCTGAATTTGATTGTCATTCCAGTGATCAACAAAACAATTGAGTATTAAATAAAATATTTTATGACTACTATTTTTTTCCAATTGTTCACGAAACTACATTGATTGAATAATCAAATCATTTCTTTTTTAAAGACAATACTTGCTTTTCAAACAAATCAATTTGATTTAAACGAAATTCGTTATGAATAAGTATAAAGGTAGTTCAATAGAATTCCGCAAGCTCATTGCAGTTTTTTTTACAAAGCAATTCTTGACACAACATTTATCTTTTAACCAACGTTAGTTATTATAATTAAGCTTTGTTTGTTTCTTTTTTTGCAGTTGTCGTTTTTTTTTTGTTTTTTTCATTCATGAAGAATCAAGTTAGGACTTTAACATTTTTGCAACCCAGCTCACAAGTGATTGTTTAGAATACTTAAGATTTTATTTAAGGGTCGCCTGCGTGCTTTGTGAGCATGTGACGCATTATCTTTTGTAACATGATCGCACTAGTCATCCTGAATAACTGTGAATTGAGGTTTTTTTAACAATTTACTTCCTAGGTTCACTTTACCCTTTTTTTTCCCATAACTAACGTTGTTGAATTTTCTCAATCTTCTCTTACTTATGTTTTTTTTACACATGAATTCTTTTTTTTTCTTTTTACATAAACCACATGCAGCAAACAAATCACGTAACAATAAAGACAACAATTTTCACATAAACACATAATAAGGATTCAGAGTTACCTCCTGACGTCGCGAAGCTGTGGATGCCCTTTTTTCCCTTTTTTGAAAGTAAACATTTTTTTTTGAAAATAAATATACCCTTTTTTTCCGAGTATCGTTTTTAAAACCACATGCTCTGATATCAAAATGTAACACCCCGACCCGCGTAACCCGAAACAACGAGTTAGCGAATCGGGTTGTCACTAATTTGGTATTCACATGCATAATATTTTAGAACATTTAATAATAAAATATCAATTCACATTTATTTTTAAACAATTCATAAATAATCAGAGTAAATAATTCAAACGTTGCGGAAGCTTTTAAAACAACAACGTCAAACATTCTTGTAGTTTAAACAAAATAAAAGTCAACAAGTATTTAATTCAATTTCAATTAGCATCGGGTCATCCTCCAGCGTCACGCCTCACTGTTCTTCACGCTACTCCTCATCCAATCCTTGATCTCTACCTGTAAAAATAGGGAGAGTGGAAGTATCTAACGCTAGAACTAACTCATAGACTAGCACCCATCAATATATAATCACACAATATCAGAAGAATCAGCAAATATCATATTGAATACCATGATCAACTATTTATTTATTTAAATCCAGTTCTTGATGTTTATCTACACTTAACCCTATAGGCTAAGTTTTCCTTTTGACTAAGAGTATGTTTGGTTGGAGGTAGGTAAAATGTTTATTAGGTAGGTAATGGAAGGTAATTGAAGGTAGGTAAAGTAAGGTAACGAGTTAAAAACTGTGTTTGGATGCTTATTAGGTAATGTGAGGTAGGTAGAATAACAAATTTACTTATATGCCCTTGTCTTTTTACTTAAAAAACAAAAAAATCGCAAAAAATAAAACAAAAAAAAGGGAAAACAGCAAAAACCCAAAAAGCTTAAAATCAAAACCGAAAAAAAAACCATAAAAAACCAGGGAAAAAAGTCAAAGCATGATATTTCAATTAATAAAAAACAGGAAAAAAAAGAAAAAAATAGCAAAAAAATGTGAAAAAAGTTGAAAGGGTTTGAATAAGTGGGGAGAAAGAAAAATCGAAAAAAATACAAAAATGGCATCAATTGCAAACATTCTACTTCAACAAAAATTGAAATAAATACAAATTTTTTTTAACATCAATTTCAAAAATTTATTTAGACAAAGAACAAAAAATATAGAAAAAAATTCCTTGCATCAATTTCAAACTTTCTAATTCAACAAACAAAAAAATACAGAAAAGAATTTCTTTTACATCAATTTCAAAGATCCAATTTTAACAAATAGCAAATAAAAACAGAAAAATGTCAAAAAATAAATGACAAAAAGAAATCTGGAAAAAAGAAAAAAAACAGAAAAAAAAGAGAAAAAACGCATTCTTTAAATGGCAAAAAAAGTATAAAAACCTTACCGGATATGAAGATAAGCCATGGCAGATAATGATTTGAGATCCAAAGAAGAAGATGAAAAGAAGAAGATGAAAAAGAAAAAGAAGAAGAACCGTGGATGGGAGGAGGCCAGGGAGAGCTGCGCTGGAGTGGAAGAAAAAACGGAAGAGAAGTAAAGAGAAGGGCATGGGAAGGAAGGCGTAAATTTTACCTCACCTGACCGCACAATCGGCGGGCGTGTATATTGCACTGTTACGCGGTTGCTTTACCTTCCCTCACCTCCATTTACCTACCTCTATTTCCTCTCCCAAACAAGGTAACTTTTAATCTTACCTTATTCTACCTCTACCTCCCTCCATCCAAACACAGTGTAAGTCATGGACACTCGGACGGATCCCCCGAGGCCACGCTTGACTAAAACCCAAAGAGAATCCTCAATGGGCGGGTTGGAGCCCCTACAAAGGAATCCCTAGGTAGGCTAATGACTCCCGTACGTACGTTTTTAACCCAAGACCCGTGAGTTATGTGAAGCTCACCCCACCAGGCCTAAATCCTAAATCCTAACTGAATGGTGATTCCAATATCCTAAACAATTTGGTTTTTGTTCACAACCTCCTAGCTATACTGGGTGGTCTATTCCTCAATATCAATTTAACAAGTAATTATCACTAATAAGCTTTGCAATGTAATAACTTTGCTACTTGGGCAGATTTTGTTGTCTTAGTTAAGCCAATCAAATTAGATTGTTCTGTGTATTTAATTAATAATCAATTGGACATAATAAATTGGACCAATCTTGAATCATGGTCCAATCATGGTTCAAACAACATGAAACTAGCTAAAATTTGAAAGGCCCAAATAACCACCAATTCATGCCGACCATCCCTCTTCCTGGCAGATCCAATCCGGCAAACAGCATGTGAGAGGCGTCACAGCTACCAGCGTTCCAGCAACAACAAGAACAGAGCAGAAGAACAAGAAACAACGCGGAGAGAGAAGAACAGAAAAGCAGAGACATAGCCGACAAAATTCCCATTCGATTCCCCAACTCAGTTCATGTTCTTATCTTAACCCACACAATCAAACACTTATATACTCAAATTCACAGATTCAACATCAATTGAACAATAATATATAAAGAATACTTATCTACGAATCAATTCTAACGAGAGATAAATCACTCACCTTAATGGAATTGATGAAGAAATCACAATAATCCCCACCTAGATTCCGGCGGAAGCTCCGGCGAAGTCCTCTTTCCCGGCGACGTCTCAGGCAGCTTGATCGACGAACTCAATTGGTTTCGTCGCCGATGGAGGAGGAGAAGAGTCGTGATGCAGATTGGAATGCTAGGAGCAGTATATACGGAGTAAATTATATACGCAGTTTAATTGGGGTTCTCCTTTTTGGAATATTTTTGGAATAGGAATATTATTACTCCGGTATTATTTAGTATTATATTTATTTATTGAACTGTAACGTCTATTTTAATCATCACGGTTTATACAAAAGTTCAAACTTAACAAGTTATATACTGTTGGTCACCATTTACGAAATCTACCGGAAAACCTAATTTTTAATTAAAACGGTCAACTTTACAAATACTTCATATTTTGAAGTCAATAAATAATCAATTTATTTTTATTAAAATAACGGCCAACTATTATACTAAGCCGGTCCTTAGGGCGTTACAAATGCAAGGAAAGTGTAAACTAAACCTACTGCCACAATTTGAGAGCAAATTCATGCGCAGGGCTCAGGACGCCCAATGGAAACCAGTTTATTTGTGCAATTTAACACTAATTCCCACAAATCACATAAATTCAATCTATCATGCAACAAAATTGAACCCATAGATTCGTTGAAGTTTTCCTCAAAATTCCCAAGGAACCCCAAGAACACACAAATCCACATATATCCCTTCGGGTTGGATTATTCACACTTATAAACAAACAATTATGAATTCTAACGATAGAGGGTCCACATACTCACCTCAATTCTTTGAGAAGATAAATCTTAAATCGCTGGCGTCGATGTCGTCCCTTGTCTCGCGTCAATTGAGAAGAAGATGAAGATGGACGGTGATTGAAACGAGCACTCGTACTCCGGCAAAGCCTCCGGCGATGTGCTTCGGTCTCCCTCTCTGGTTTGGTCCGTCGGCGAATTGATCGAGAAAGAAGACAGATTTGTTTATACGGAGTATACGGGTTTCGTAGTTGGAATAGGACTCCGTATTAGGAAACTAGATTTTGTTTACTTATTATTTTATATTATTATAATTAAATTATAAATTTTTTGTTTGTTTATAAAATGTAATATCTATTTTGTTCATATTTTTTTACGCCAAATTTCAAATTCGACAAACCGTATGTTATTGGTTACTTTTTCACGAGACCATTCAAAAATCTAAAACTCTTTAGATTATATTATCTCAACGACATATTTGTATTTTATTCATTTATTTTATAATTTTTTCGATTCTCGAACAGTCAAATCCTAACGCTCGTAAGTCGGATTCGCACGTGAGATATGCCTTTGAACCCGTTTCGTTAATACCTTCAATTCGATTATAAATTTGTTTATAAACGATAATTTTAGTAATAACTTATTTAATTTCCTTCGTTATTAATTTTAGTTAAACAAAATTTAGAAATATATTATACTAGAAATTTATTATAACTTTTAGGGTATATTTCGTGGTATTACATTTTCCCCCTTAAAAAGAATTTCGTCCCTAAAATTCTTCTAAGATAAAGAGTGTAAAATAAATATTAAAAATATGTACATTTTAATTTTTTAAGACAATATAGGTTTTTTCTGAAAAAAAATTCATTTTAATCATTGATCAAAATAAATTTTTTTGATATGTTATACTCCGTATTAATTTATTCCCCACACCTATTATTACGGGAGATTGTGAATGTACAATTTCAGCCCGCGTCATCACTGATTCACTTCACCCCTCTCTCTTGCGCTATGGCGATGAGCTCTGAGAAGGAAGTTTTTTTGAAGGAGTTCGGCGAGGATTATGGCTATCGTAATTCCTCTAGAAATATAGATCAGATTAGAGCCATGGAATTCAAGCGTTTGGAAGGTCAGTAATGTGTCGGATTTTTTGTTTTCCAGGCTGAAAATGAATTATGAAGATGGATAAACGGATGATTTTGGGAAATTCGTAGGTGTTGTGTATCTGGATCATGCCGGAGCTACCCTCCACTCGGAGTCTCAATTGGAAGCAGTTTTGAAAGAACTCAATTCCACTGTTTATGGAAATCCTCGTATCCTTTAGCCTTAACTTTTTTCCATTGGTCATTAGATCGAACAGACTCTCTCCAAAAATTAAAGGTTTTTTTTGGGTGAATCCAATAACTTAAGAGGAGTACTCTAAGACAGTTTTTTTTTTTCAATTGTTCCTTAAGTTGTTTAAATAAAAGCCGCTGTATGGCAGGAGTCTATCAAAGTTTCTAGATGAGCAACATCTATATGAACAACAAAACAACAACATAACCCCAGTGCCTCAAAGGTTTCCCCTGCCTATTCCAGGGTAAGGTTGGGTCGGATGTACGCAGCCTGACTCATTATGAATGTCGAAAGTTGCATTGACTAACTGTTACTCCACTATCAAAGAAGCACAGATAGTTTAAGACCATTTTGCTTTATTCCATCTTACTCCAGAGCCAAATAATAGTGAAAATTTGGCTCTATCGGAGAAGATGGAAGAATGAGCAACATCTAAATAGTCTTGTATTTCTAGATATCTGCCATGTGAAACATGAAAAATTGTCGCACAACCCCAAGAGGTTGGTATGCTTCAGAACTTAAAAGGATCGTCTCTATAGTAGTCCTCCGAGGTATCAAATTCAACCAAACATTGGAATTTGGAAGTCATCAATGCAACTGTCACCCATGCAGCAGTATGGCAAACTGTGTTTTGAATATTCATGCCCCTTGAGTGTTTATTTCATCATCAGCATCAAGCCAATAGTGTTTAGGAGTACACTTAATGTGCTGCAGTATATTCATCATATGATTGAGTGCTCACATTGCTTTTCATCATCAGCATCAAGTCAATGGGGTGATCTTGATTTAATTAAGTGGGTTCCTTAAGCTGTAAATCAAAAGATAGCCAAAGCAGCTGCAGCATGAGTAGTAATGACTGTGTTCAAAAAGCACGTCAGCAGGTAGTCAATTTGCTGCCAATGCTTTCCTATGAGTGGACTGAAGTAAATTAGATTTCTTTTCCTTTTTGGCTTTTTATAATATTGGTATAGGTACTTGAATTCTTCAATGCATCCCCCAGAGAGTACAGCTGCATATTCACTTCTGGGGCAACAGCAGCTTTGAAGCTTGTTGGGGAGACATTCCCATGGTGCAGTGAGAGCAGCTTTATGTATACAATGGAGAATCATAACAGCGTGCTTGGGATAAGAGAGTATCTTTGTTTTTACCAGAAACATGCTATGAATACTATAATTAGTCGCCATAAATATCAGCCTTTTCAAGTTGTGCTTTTTCCTGTCTAAAGCCAAAACTTTAGCTAGATTTAAAAAAACTAGTTTTAGTCTGCATACCTCATTGCTTACTGTTGATGTGCACTTCATTTGCCCATTATATTTAGTAATCCGAATGAACTTTTATAATGTGTCTGGAAATTCATATCTTGAAACGCATATAATTATTAACTTTGATGAATGTCATTTCCTCAATAATATCTAGATATGCACTCAATAAAGGAGCTACAACATTTGCTGTAGATGTTAAAGATGCTATTAGTAATGATAGCTCACAAAGCCATCAATCTGCCTTTAAGATCTCACACCGCCCTATGCAAAGATGTGAAGCTGGACTGCCAAACGAAGGATCAACAGGTAGGTTACTATCATTTTGTTTGACAATTAATGTTGTGGGGCTCAGCCTTTAAAACCATTTTATGACTTACAGTTTAGAGTTTGCACAAATCCAGTCTTATATGTGTAGCATTTTCTCAGCTTATATTTAAATGAGCTTAAAGCCTCTGTAGGTTGTGAACTCCTCATAAGAGGGAACAAATGGAAGAAACAGAGCAAGACCTGATCTTTGATGGACTGGGGGTTTGGACTCTTATGAAATTAGTCCTAAAAAATATTTGGAATACATCTGATCCTTTTTAAGGTTTAATAATATAATACAGAGTTGTAGTATAATGATTGTCGACTTGTCGTGGACTTTTATTGTTAGATATGAATTTGAAGTCTTTTCATTTACAAAAAAAGAGTATCTGCCTCTGTTTTGATTAAATATCTCTGCAATATATAGCTGTTTGATTTAAATTGTTTTTGTTAATTGTTAGCATTATAATTATTATTTGAAAGGATTATTATTATTAATTATTATTATTATTTTGCAGGAAAGGTTCACAACTTGTTTGCATTTCCGTCGGAGTGCAACTTTTCAGGTAAAAGGTTCAACCTTGACCTGGTGAACATTGTGAAGGAAGGTTCAGATAGTATCTTGGGAAGCAGCTCTCTGTCTCATAGGTAATCCGTTAGAGATCTTTTTGCCTCTTCTTGCTAACATATTCTCGTTGCAATTGATATTTCTTGTAGTTTTAACAATGTTGTTGCTAAAAGAGGAGGACAGTGTTATGCATGTATATTTGTAAGGCTATGATTCAATGCTATTTTTATTGCAAAGTACTTACTTTTGAGCTTCTATCAGTCAAAGTCTACAACAACAACCCAGTGGAATCCCACCCAAATTATTCCTTTTAACTTGGAGCTCTCAGCTGTCTAGTTGGTGAGAGGCCTTTTTAGATTTTCCACAGTTGAGATCTTTCCCATACACATGAAACATACTTCCCTTTCCTACTTTTCATGCTTAGATCATTGTTTTTATGAAAAGTTTACTTCTATGCTAAACGCCCCCCTCCCCTGGACTGGAGCATGCATTTTAAGATAGTGGGAAACCTTCCTGAACCACAACATGCAATTTATATCCACTTTCGAGTTTCTGTGGCAGGGGTGGAGGCCACCCAAACCTACAGCATGGAATGCTATGTTGTTTGTTCAGAAAACACAACACTATTGTTCCAACACCCTGCAACCCTCAGCACCGCTGCCGACCACCAAGGCAACCACTGCCAACCTGGTCATATTTTAGATGATATTCTACTGAGTTGGATCTACATCCAAGTGGGGGTAAGATATACATAGTACATACACTCATCCTCCCTAGACTCTACTCTGTTTGGAATTTACTGGGTTTGTTGTTGTATTCTATTGAGTTGAGTATTCTCGGTGAACAAGACCAACAACCAAAAAATTTTGTAAACAAATGGTTCTTTGTTTACAAATACGGATGGTGTATGACAATGTTTACGATAACTCTTGAGTGTGGGTGATGTAGAAAATCAAAAGAAATCTTGTACTTCATAATATGAAAGAGAAGAATTGATGAAGAAGGTATCTTGAATTCTCTACTTCCTAGATGCATAATATTCAAATTTATTAGCAACGCACTTTTGATTTAGGCCAGAGGGTTGTTCATTTATGATTACTTCAATATTGTGCCACTGTCTTTTTGTTTGCATTTCTTATGTCACTTTTTTGTCTATCTAAAATTGGGTTTGTAATACATTCACCTAAAAAGTGTCAACAGAGGCCAATGGCTGGTTCTGATTGATGCTGCTAAAGGATGTGCGACAGAGCCACCAGATTTGACCAAATACAGGGCAGACTTTGTTGTCATCTCATTCTACAAGGTACATCTAAACACCATCCTATATTCAACTAAACTAGGACATACACCTAACTATTGGGCTGATTTTTATTTATTTTCCTTGTTTTGTTTTGTAAGATGTTTGGATACCCAACTGGAATTGGTGCACTAATTGTAAAAAATGGTAATTAGTATGTGTGGGGTTTTTCTTGCTTCGTTTTTTATGTTTATTTACTTATTTCATTACTTCGTTTTAGAAAGAAAACTAAAAAAGATGACCCCCTTCCCATCCCCTGCAGAAGCTGCGAAATTACTGAAGAAGACCTACTTTAGTGGAGGTTTTTCTCATCTCCATTTCTAAGTGTAGTTCGAAGTTCAATACGGAGTAGCAACTACTAACCTTATTCTATATAACCCTTACTAGGCACTGTTGCTGCTACTATCGCCGACACTGACTTCTTCAAAAGAAGAGCAGGTGTGGAGGAGTACTTTGAGGATGGAACAGTATCATTTTTGAGCATAGCATCAATTCTGCATGGACTCAGAGTGCTCAATACTTTAACCATGTCTTCTATATCCCGGTGTGTGACAAACATTTTTTATGTGGTATCTAATGAGATGAAGATGTTATGACAAGCATCTCTTTGCAATGTTAGGCATACATCATCTCTGGCAATCTATGTTAGGAAAGCACTCTCAGCTTTGAGACATGGAAATGGAGAATGCGTTTGCACAATTTATGGAGAAAACACCCCAGAAGTCAGTTTTTATATAAAGTTATTTGGTTATACATTCTGGATGGGTATGTACATGAAATTTTCTAATTTCTTAATCAATATAGTTGCAGGTATTACCTGGTAAAGTGGGTCCGATAGTTTCATTCAATGTAAAGAGACCAGATGGGACATGGTGTGGCTGCCGGGAAGTGGAAAATTTGGCCTCTTTGGCAGGAATTCATCTACGGGCAAGTGTTTGAAGACTATAAAATCTAGTCTATAAATATATATGCCATGAATTTTTAATAGTAGTGAGTGGTTACATTCACACATGCATATATGTTTTGTCACACCCTGCTGTTGTGCAACTACTGGGTTGTTGATGTACACTCCCTTGGTCCCATAAAAAGGTTCCACCTTTGATTTGGCACGGAGATCAAGAAAATCGAAATTCTGTGGTTGAGAGTGATGCAGAGGAGTGAAATTATAAGGGACACAATTGTTTCCAAAAGTGAAAAGTGGAACCTTTTTATGGGATGAAGGGAGTACATGTTTTGTCACCACTCTGAGAACTGTTAGAAAATACTTCCATTTATTCTCTGTCTTATATGACTTACAATTTGCTCTTTGCTTTTTTTGTCAATCCTTTTCTTTCTTCTATTTGCGTAGACAGGATGCTTTTGCAATCCTGGTGCCTGTGCAAAGTACCTTGGTTTATCGCACAAGGATATTCTTTCAAATATTGAGGTATATCTCATTCTCTCTCAGATATGGATGACTGGATGATTCCTAAACCTTTAATGTACTTCCTGATTTATCTTCTTTTTCAAAGGCTGGCCATGTTTGCTGGGATGACCAAGATATTTTAAATGGAAAACCAACTGGAGCCGTTAGAGTATCCTTTGGTTACATGTCAACATTTGAAGATGCCAGGGTATTCTGTTCATACATGATTCTGTTCCCTAAGACATTATTATTATTTATCTCTTCCTTGTCTAAGCATCCTCTCTTTCTACAGCTACAAAATTTTCATCTTTATTGCTATTGAAGTTAGTGGGTATTTTGGAAAACATTTGGCCTGTGACATTAGACACATTTCTTTGGATAGTCCATTCATTTATAAATGAGCACATGGTTGCAAACCATCACAAGAGTTACATGCACTCTTTATTCAGTATCACTTCTGCTCAACTTTGTTTCACTTCATTTTAATAGAGCTTTAATAGTAAGTCAGGATTATGCAACCTTGATACATGATGAGTGGAAAACCTGCTTGATTTGCTTCTCCTTAGCTGTGAGCATTTGCTGGTTAGCTTATTCTTATAATGTTACACTGACATGCTGCTTTCTACATTCCTTGCACCGGTGTTCAGAAATTCATGGACTTCATGGAAAGGTCCTTTGTGTCATTTCATTCCATCGAAGGTGCTTTGAGTGCAAGATCACCTCCCCTTGTAATGAAAGGTTATACTGTTACCACCAATCTCTTTCTGTCCTCTGGTTTGTAAACTTGGTTGTCAAACTTTCTGCAAGTTGATTACAGTTTCCAGAATGTGAGTTTTATTTTATCATCAGTCTCTACTCCTCTTTCAAATGCAGGAACTGAAAAGATAGCAATGCATTTCCTCACATCAATTACTGTATATCCAATAAAGTCATGTGCAGGCTTTAGTACGGATCGTTGGCCCCTGACAAGCACAGGTAGTAGTACTCCTATAAGCTTTATGATGTAAAGGTTTGGTGCATTCTCTCCATACCCCTCCCCTCCCCATTACCGACCATACTTCTCTTTGTGTTTAGGCATTGTTTTTTTTAAAAAATAGAACCCTCTTTCTTTTAGAGGTGCTGTGAGAAGTGAACTTTTCTTGCTGTATAGCACTCTCAAGAAATCAGCTGACTTCCTTTTCCTCTGCTTTGGATTTAGGGCTATTGCATGACCGAGAGTGGCTTCTTAGGAGTGCCAGTGGTGAAGTCCTTTCACAAAAGAAGGTAGTTAATCCCTTCTTTTTTTCTTTAGGGGTGGTGATGGTATGTGTTTACAGATGTCTTCTGCATCAATGAAGGATTAAATCCTTCTTTTTCATGATAAATTTATACATTTAACCCCAATCTATGTAATGATTCTTCTATCTGTGTGCAAACCAGTAGTAGGGATATACTTAATTCACTGTTATTCTTGTTGAATTCTTTGATGACGCTAATGGGATACTAGATTCCAGAAATGTGTCATATCAAAACATTCATTGATCTCAAGTTGGGAATACTGTTTGTTGAGTCTCCTCGCTGCAAAGAGAAACTGCAGATTAAACTTATATCCAATATGAATGATGCAAGGTCTGAAGAAATTGGCATACATGCTCAAAGGTTTGTTACGCTTGTGTTACTTTTGTGGCTTCTAATATGCATTGATTACTTATGTAAATTGCAACCAGCATGTAAAATAGTTTAGAGGAAAGAATGAAAGAGAGTAGCTTACTACCTTGTCCTGAATTAATAATTTTTGAATTAGCAACCTTATACTTATATTGATGTTTTTCAGTAAAATGTTTCTTGTTTCAATAAAAGCAACAAAACATTTCTTTTTGAACTTGCTTTTCTGTTTTAAAAGTTATACCTATTTGTGTTGCTAAAACGGCAGTTATTTTGGGAGAGAGGTAACAGTATTCTCAATTTTGGGTAGGCATGAGGTCCAAAGTTATGGCATTGAAGTCAACAGTTGGTTTAGCTATGCTGTCAGTCAATCTTGTACTCTACTGAGAAATTCTGGAGCCGTGAGATACACCTGCTCTAAGGTGAATTCTAATACAGGCATTTGCAAGGGTGTTGCAACCAAGTTGAATTTTGTCAATGAGGCCCAATTTTTATTGGTATCTCAGGAAAGTGTAGCGGATTTAAACAACAGGTTACACTCAAGTATGTACATTCGATATAATCTACAACAAATTCTTTATATATACTCGTATTAGAATGTCCTTTTCTTTTTTACGAAAGGAGCATAATATCATTTTCACCACAAATTTGGTTATGTTTTAGTCAATCACTCCAACTCTTATATTTGGTGTTTACAGACCAAATTGATTCGTTGCTCTGTATTTAGGCACACAACAAGGCGCTTATGGAAAGACAATTGAAGTCAGTACTATGAGATTCCGACCCAACCTTGTCATATCCGGAGGCGAACCATATGCAGAAGATGGATGGGAGAGTCTTGAGATAGGAGGGAAGATATTCACTGTGAGTACTGCCAACTTAAATGGAACCTAAAATTGTGAAAAACAGTTATGTGACATTAATGTCTTTTCTGAGGATGTATGTGATCGTCCTTTTGGCTTCATCATGACAGTCTCTTGGGGGATGCAACCGGTGCCAGGTGATCAACATACATTCACATGGTGGTGAAAAGGTGCGAAGGTCGAAAGAACCCTTGGCTACTTTAGCAACATACAGGCGAGTTAAGGTCAGCCATACCTAAGGCGTGTATTTTTCGATGAAAACAAGCATTTTATGCTTAGTCATTTCAGCTAAATAAGTACTCCCTCTGACCCTCTGTCCCATTTTAATGTGCCCAGTTTGACTAGGCACGTCACGTGGACTAATAAAGTGAAAACTGTCTGATTGAAAGTTAAGCATAGGACAAACATTTTTAAATGGAAACAACCAGAATATCATTTGTATTGCAATGTGCATTCAAACAGGGGAAGATACTGTTCGGAATATTGTTGAGGTATGAAAAGGATGCTACGAAGGATTTCGATCCATGGCTCCATGTAGGAGAACAAATATTCCCAAATCGTCCTTCACCCTCGTCCTAACAGCTTTCCATGGGAGGTCAAAACAAACAAGGTGCAATAGTTTGGATTGGATGTTCTTGCTTGAGTTGAAGAACATTACTCTCCATCAAACACAAGTCCTTGAAAAGTGCAGTACTATAATTATAGAAGTGCAGTACTATAATTATAGTTCAGTCCTTCAACGTGACGGTCCCAACTCTCTTGTTGTAACAAAAAAAATTGGTTGCTTAGTTCAAACTTTCAAAAACTGGCCACATTTATTTCCCTTATTCCGAGTGGGATTTGCGTTTGGTTTGTTTTTTTAAAATGTTATTTTGATGTACTCTACCTTCCAAATAGGGGTAAGGTTTTGGTAAACACCCTCTCACACCGTATAGTCTGGTTTACATTCTGTATATATTTAAGGAAAATTACAGAAATAATTACTTACTGAATTTTTTCTTTCTTTAAATTCATAACAAGGTACGAGTAATTGTGTAACAAAGAAATACAGGCCGTTTATGGTTGCTATTGTCTTTTTTACTAAAGCAAAAGATTGGGAACAAAAGAAACTGCTTTTCTAGTGTTCTCTTTGTAGTTTTCAAATGTTTCTTATGATACTGGTTTTTGATGTCATAATACTCCGTATTTCCGTTAATATTAAAATATGAGTTTGATTTTTTTTTAAAATCACGAGTTTAAAAACGAGAAAGTGAATTTTTATATATCAACGATGACAATGCTAGTGATTCTTTATGAAATATTTTTTAGAATATACACCAATGTGTTTGTTAAATATGCCAAGTTAACAATTTATGTGTACAAAATTCACAATGCAATAAGGACACTGTTTGGAGTTCTCATCAATCGACTAAACAAAAACGAATGAAACTTATTAACGATTACTCAAATGAGTAAATCTTACGGAGTATTTACTAAATTTACTTCAAATATTTATTTTAAATATAACATAGTAGATTTGCTGACATGGGAGTGAGGCAAATTATTCTATGAAATTTATTGAAGTGAAATAAATATTTTCTTCTACTGAGATAAATATGTTTTTTTTATTTTTGAAAAACAAATTAATGTGAGAAGATAAGAAAGTGACTTTACTATAACACGAGAGAGTAAAAGGCTCGGCTTTGGGTTGGAGCCGGGGAAGTCCGTCGACGGCAACTGCGGCGGCAATATTATATGGATCGGAAAGCAAAACAAACTCCGCAAGGTCTGATATTTCACACCGATCAAAATTCCGCCATTGAAATGTCCCCATTCTTGTCGTCTTTACCTTTTCTTTACTGCACTTTGCAGCCCAAACGGCTCGGATTCTGGTAGAATTTCTGGAAGTGGCCATCAACTCCGTTATCTTCCTCAAAGGGGTCTACCCGATCGGTAAATCTCGCACCCTAATTTCCTTAATTTTGTTTCATTTCGCCATGTTCAATTTCAACCGCGAGCGAGTGGATTTTAAAAGTCTCTCGAATGGTAGGGGCATTTGAGAGGCTGCGCTACATGAATGTCGTGGTTCATAGATCTCGCCATCCCGATCTCAGACATTATATTCACTCCTCTGTTAATGGACTCCTCCCTTTTATCCAAAAGGTTTCTTCTTCTTCTTATTTATGGTTAGACTTGAATTCTTTTGTAGACTGTAAATTGCAATGGAGCTAAAAGAACCATTATTATTAGAAATGTTTTACGGAGTAGTTTCTACTGAATAATGGACTAAAAAAGAAATTTGCTTGCGGTTTCGGGTTCAATTAAAACAACCTATTTGTTTTTTGCAAGTGTATGGTTGTGATACCTCTGGTGGATTAAGGTGGATGTTGTTTTTAGGCTTTCGATTTTTTTGAAAAATTGAAATTTTAATGGGGTTGATTTTTGTTTACATAGGGGGAAGTGGAGAGAGTTGCAGTTATTTTCTTTGATGACAACAATGTTCCATTTGAGAGGTTTGTTTTCAAGATAGATGTGAACCAGTCTTATGGCTCGAGTGTGGAAGAAGCTGACATGGAGCTTTCACTTAGGTCTTTCTTGATCAAGCTTCCCAATTCGCAATCTCTTACCCACAATCTTCCTCCCGGTAAGCTTGTCTTAGTGGTGATCTCTATGCATTTTTATGTTTCCTTCATTTTCTTCTCAATTGGTAACTCATACACCCCTAACACTCTAAGCGATATGAATGTCAATGGGTTGAGTTTGGACCCAGTTATAATCCAAAACCGTCATCTATATTGCAATTATGGGTCTAGATTTTAATCTGTCTATTAGTGTTGGCTTTGGCCTTATCCCACACCATGGGTTTAGCCTTTGTTTGGTTTGATTTCTATCCAACATCGGTGGGTTTGTTCTTTAGCTTCCCACAGCTTATGTTTTTCATTTGGGGGGGGGAGTTTGAGAGCTATAAATGAACTTTTCTCCCTTCATCATTTGATCGTCCCAAAATTTGTATCTCTTCTCCCACATTAATAAGAACAGATTGCTTGAAAAGGAAGGACTGATTCTCTTAATTGCAAGTGAAATATTCATCGAGACATTCTCACAAACACCTAGCATTTTGGGTTTGTATCCAAAATCTCCAAACCTACACAATTCAATCACATGGAACCTTAACCTCCTCCAATCCTCAACGAACTGCTCACACAGCATAACTAATTAAGGAAAAGGCAATGGTGAAACAAGGTGTGGCGAATATAAAAGAAGAAATTGCGAACTTAAGAAAGGAAGCTTCACTAAATCAATGGCAAGGAATGAATTTGAGTCTTGGCTCTTCAAATCTAAAATGATCAATTGTAGTTGACTTTAAGTCTAACCCTAATCTAGATAGAAGTTGGAGTGAAGTTGTTTGGAGTGTGGAAATGAAAAATTGTGAAAGTGTGAGTTTCCCTTAAGAGATGGCCTTTGGTAGAAGTGGCATACCATTAAGTGGATATAGAATTGTGTTTCATAAGCGGTTCTAGAAGAACTTTAGAAAATATTGCTAGCTGTAATGGGGTGGAGGAATGTCATTCCTCTAGTTAGCGAATCAAGGTACATTGAAAGCTTCATCACTTCATGATCTCAAAGATCTCTAAAAGAACCCCAATTTGATATGTTTGGGTACTGCAACTCATCCGGGTGTCTCTTGGAAACTGCCTCTTATTTCCCAGTAGGGTAAGGTCTGCATACATTTTAATCTTATGGGATTCTACTAGTTTTGTTGTTTATTGGGTCCCGTAAGTCTGTAACTTCTCCCCTCCTGATTTTGTAGTTATGGCTTTTGGAAGTCAAGTATATCTGAACACTTCAAGTTGTGCTCTCAACTCCTTGATATAACTGCATAGGCCATTGAAATGCCTAAAAGCATCCAAAATGCTTCAAAACCGTCTCAAAGAATGTTCCATATGGTTCCTATGATTAATAAAATACAGATATTTTGTCATAACAGTAATAAAAGATGAGTTATATACTCCGTGTTAGAATTCATTGTGTATATAGGTCTCCCGGACATATGTATACAATCGTACAATAACTCTACCCGTTCCATGTAGAATATATATGCTAGCTGGGCTCCCCATATGATCTACTCATTATCTGAATATACCAATTCTTTTACTATATACACATGAACATGAGTCCTATCAACCTGTATACACGCACAACTAAAGTCCATCTCACAACAGAGCGAGTGCATTTTTTCAATGTTGGGTCTCAAATCTTGATAGAATTTGTGTGGTGATCAAAGGTGTCATCTTTGATCAGATTGCAGGTGGGAAATAACAGGCTACTTTCGGTCTCTCCCGGAGGGCAGCAATGCAAGTGTATGGGTTCCCACAGGCACCAAACAGTGGCAGCAACCTCCTGTGATTATGCCTATCAAGTCAATGAGGAGTGAACCCCTTGGGGTTCAGCTCTATCTCGAACATCCCAACCAACAACAACAAGAGCTACAACAACAAACTCAGTAAAAACCCACAAAAAAATGTTGGTTTTGGAGATCGTATGTATATGCAGATCTTACCCTTGCTCGGAAATCATCCAATTTGCAGAAAATTCAATACTTTCAGTGTTGAGGCATTTCTAGTGGGCAGTTGATGCAAGAAGATGTTGTCTGGGAATGCTTTGAAGCTTAGATTTTTAGAAGCTCAACGAAACAAGTTGTATAAAATCTAAAAAAAGTGTAAAGTTTATCTCAATGTAAATTCTTTGATGAACCATTTAGAGGTTTAGATCTTGTTTGGTAAGGTGAACTTCATTGAAATAAAATTGGCTTTTCTTCATTGAATTTTCTTTACTCCAATGGCATGAAAATAAGGGTAAGATTGCCATTTCCATTCATTTTAGCAGCTTCAACCTAAAAACAATGTGTCCCATTTTTTCCATTATAAGTCAACTCAGCTTGCCTTGTTAAAGTCAGTTCAATTCTTCCCTGTAAACTTTAGGTTCCGGTCTGGTTTCAGTATTAGAAAACATAACGTCATGGTTCTGGTTCGTAGCCTTCTTCACCCCTACTCAGGTCTCACTTAATTCTGGAACAATGTCCTAAATGGTGAAAATATACACGTAGTTAACGTTTGTTTTCTTTTTTAATTGTTCATTTCACTTTTTGTGTCGAGTTTTTGGCTAAAAAAATCTCTTAAAGTATATTAACAAAAAATTATTAAAAAATACATAAATCTACTACTTATGCTATGTTTGGTTCAAGGAATTTGGAAATAAAAGAAAAGAAAATAGTTTTCTATACTATCAGTTTCGTCACCAAAATGGGAAGAATTTTGTTTTCCCTCCTCTTAGTACATTTTGCCTTCTCATTTTCTTTTCATTCCACTTTTCTTTTCTTTTTCTTCTTAACCAAACCAGAAAAATATTTTAATTCTTATTTTCTTTTCCTTTTCCTCTCAAATTTCTTAAACCAAACATAGTGTTAAAGTATTTTTAGACACTAAAAAAATAGATACAAATACTATGTTATAACTTTAATATCTTAGTTAGTTGTAGTACTGCCTTCGTCCCAACAAAATCTTATCAATTTAAAAAAAGATGCGCTTTTAAAATGCGTGATTTTTGTGTCATCTTTAAATTATAATTCATTTATCATACACATCATATTCTATCCTATTACAAAATAAAAGTTATACATTTTTAAGACATACCTTTTTCAAGTATGAAATTTTTTTTGAAACGGAGATAGTATAGACGGGTAAAATTAAAATAGATGGGTTAAAAAAGTAGTACTCCATATTTTGATGAGGCAATATTAGGGCACAAAAAAGGATGGAGATGTGGTGGCATGCAGGTGGAAGTGATTGCCAAATGCAGAGATTTTATTTATATACCAATAGATAATTCACAATCTCACTATGCATAGCAGTAGTAGTGTGTATGTGGGGGACACAAAACCCACACACACACTCACCACCACCCTCCAAAAATTTTAGATTTTGGGTGAAAAGATCATTCAATGTTTCTTTCACTTCATCATTTCTCCTATCCCTATGCCCCCACTTGCATCATTTTCTTGTGTCTTGTACCCCACCCAACCCCCAAAATGAATACTCCCCAAACTACCCTTGAGCATAGCTTAGCTGGTCAATTGAGAACGCACAACTGGCACAAGCAAGTAACGCCCGAATTTGACTTCTGACTACTGTAACAAATGACGTTCAGTCTCGCATGAGATCTTTTCACGTACCAGTAGATTTTCCTACAGAATTTTGATTAGTCATCTGAAATTCAATTATTTCAATTTATTTTCTTATAGACTTTTTGTATTGACTCTATGTAGGATTATAGGATGGGCATCTTCTTTTTTTTTTTTTTACTATAACTTGAAGAGTGGGATGTTGTGTGATGGGATTACACACAGTTTGCACAGTGTGACCCATTCTAACCGAACCTTATTTGAGCTGTCTTTTTGTATGCACGGAGTGAAAAAAAATAGCCTATGCGGCTATGCATGTGAGGCACCACTTATTATTTACCCCAGACTGGGATCTCCTTCGTTCCAAATCAACCTTTCGGTTTGACTTTAGTGAATTTTAAAATAATAAAAATTTGTTGTTAAGATTTATGTGAGGAGAAGAAAAATAACGTAAACAGTTCAATAGTTACTTTGAAAGAAAGGAGAATTTAATTTCAAGACAAAGAAAAACGAGAAGTTTATTTTGCAGTGCAGCGAATTTATATAATACATGAATCATATTATTAATGGATGGAATTGAAATAACAATAAAAAAGGGTTCCTTCCCATTCACATTCCCAGCAAAGGTGAGCACTAACATCACTTATTGTTTGGTGAGGAGGCACCAAAGATTTCCATCTATAGCTTTGATATTTAATGGCATTATTTGTGCCCATTATGTATATATATATGTGTGTGGGCCATTTATGTGTATTATAATAACTTTGTGATTGATTGAATTGAATGACCATATTATATAGCATTATTTTATTATACAACCTAGCTATATATATAAGTGGTCACTGTCACATACACACATGCATGCTCAAAAAACCCTTTCACATAATAAGGCTCTAAATTTCTTGAAGTTCATGCACATTCACATGGTTTTGGCTGAATAATGGATTGCAAATTTTTTTAAATAAAAATTGTTTTAAATTCACGTACATACTGTGAACTAAATTTTAAAAAAAGGAAGAATACATTTTCTTTTCACTTCTCATGCTTTACACCTTATGTTTTTTAAAAGTTGTTCTGGTTGGACTTTCACGGAGTTTAGAACAAATAAAGTTATATGGCAAGAGTTTGTGTAGATAAAAACGAAATAAAATAAATCACTCATTTCTTTTGGTTTTAGAATATATAGTGAGATAGATGAGAGAGAAGAGTAATATCACACCAAATTTTTACAGACACACTCAGATAATAAGTGCTTAGCTTGCATGCTAATCATTATTTGCGTGTATGTGTAAGAAGTTTGATGGGTTGAATTTTTAGTGCCCCTCTACCATAATTCATGAGGCATTACATGCATAGTAACTGAAAATTGTTGGCTAGGCCGGCCGCCGGTGGGCGTTGTGCAGTTGGCAAAGGCAGGGAGTGCGAAGGGATAGACCCGAGTTTGATTTCTAGTAACTGTGCCGGGTTGTAATTATGTTAAGCATAGGGCGTAGGGCTTCTGCAAGTACTGGATGCAGGCTTCAATTACTGTCATCAATCTCCAATTTATGTCTTCTTAGTGACCATCCGACTGAGTCTAAGGAGTTTTCGGGGATGGAACTCATCCTTTTTTCTTTTGAAAATTGTCGGCTAGGACATGATCACAGAAATGGTTTAATAACAATAATAATAATACTAATGTCAAATCCCAACCAAAAACAACAGTCAGTTTCTTGTCATGCAATGGGAGCTAGGGAGGACCATTTATTGGGCCATGATAATGCACTGGGCATTTGAAGGACAAATCTCATGGTCCATGGCGCTTGTGGGCCTAACTTGCTTTGCCCATTCAACCACTTGTTGCCCAACAATAACTTATTTTTAGCCTTGCTTAGCTTGTCCACATGAAAATATATAGTACCATCATACTAAATATATATGATGAGTTCAAATCAATTTATTACACTCTTCATTTGCGTTGTAACTCCTAATTTAATTTTATTGTTGTTTTTTTCAAATTTTCCTATCACTTTTTGTGAACTTCTTTTAATTTTTTCTAAGATTTTTCCGATCCTAAAATACGGACTTAAGTAACAAATATTAGGTAAATTAAATAAGTTCTGGTTGACTAGATAATCGATTAGATTCAATCAAAAAATTAGTGGATTGTCTAGTTTTAGATGAATAAAACATAAACGTTTTCATAGTGCTATAGTAAATATTCTCTACTTTTTTTAGTTATTGTTTTTTTAATTGATGATCAAAATTTGTCTTACTTCAATTTGAAAAAATCAAATTAGACGAATATTTTTAAAACATTAGACAATTATTATCTAGTGCACCTAGTCTTTGAATTGATAGAGAGATTATTAGGAATACATTTAGGACAACTTTTTTCCAACCTCCTACTATTATTTGACATGTACTTGCATTGGTAACTTGGGACCAATCAATAATATTTACTTACATTTTTTGTAAAAAAAAAATAATGTTCATTTGTCCTTTTTGAGAGGTATATATCATGTGTGGCCACTTTATCTGTAACACACATACATAGGAGCAGCCCCACTCCTAAATATGATGAGTACACTTAACTTTGTCTAAAAAGTGTGTTGTGAGGCTCCTTCTTGTCTACTACACCATAGCTAGCTAGCTTCCATTAATTAAAACTGCCAACATTAATTATTATATATGAAACTAATGAAAAATAATTATTTGGTGTAAAAGATGGGCATTTTAGGTACTGATGACTTTTTTTTTGGACTATTGGTTGAAGTTGGAGAGGGGGAAGATAGATAAGTTTTAGGGGCATTCATTTGATGTGTTTGTTTTGTAGCTTATGGTGATAGGGCAAGTCTCTGAAAATGTATATTCATCCCCATGGTTGAAGATGTTTCGAAGAGATCCGGGTTCAAGCACAAACGAGCTCTAGCTATTTATATCAATCAGATAAAAGTAAGACGTTTAATTTGGGAGATTGAGTATATGTTTGAAAAATATATGCATTTAAAAAAAGTGAAATTTGCACTAAATAGGACTAAAACATAATGACTTTCCTAATCTAGGACTTAAATTTTTTTATTCCCTAAATAGGACTTATTAATGTCTTCGTGGAAGGAATAATGCCCAGCAATGATAGACATTACTTGAATAATGACTAAAGAATAATGACCAAAGGTTCCACATTCGGAAATAAAAACATATGGTCCTATTTTGGGAAAGTCATTATGTTTTAGTTCTATTTAGGTAAATTACTCTTAAAAAATAATTTTTATATATTCCACTAGTTCTGAGTGAAAACTTTGGAGTGCTTTCTTTCATCACCACTCACAAGTAGTGGCTTGAGAAGGTTTTTTTACTTAGGTTTTAAACTCAACCATTTCAGGACTGCAACACGCTAAGGTACCACATTTGACGGGCACATTTATATTGATAAAAGTAAGAGTATGTTATATTTAATCTTGTACACAAATTGTGTGGACCATGTAACGTTTTAACCTGCTCGGTCGTTCATCTAAAGAAAAGATGAATGATCGTATTAAAAAGAAAAAAAAGCGAAACGTTTTTGTGAAACACATGGAAAGTACTCCGCGCGTACATGAATACATCGTATAAAATTT